ATATAGATGCAATCATTGTAGTAAACCCCTTCGTTATTGTTAAAAAACTCTATTTTTAAAATAAAATATAGAGGTAACCATTGCAGATGCTCTAATAAATCAGTATAATCAGTAAGAAAATATTTTTAATATATTTTATTTATATAAAATTCAAATTACATAAAATAGAAAAATATGATATAACTGGATACATAAATTCATATTTATGTCTTTTTATCAACTAATATGTTTTTATCTGTTATTCATTTTACATTATACTATTAAAAGAGATAGACATTTAGATGCAGAGTATATTTTAATCATTGATCCAAACACTCTTTACTTTATTTAAATTTCTTTTTCAAAACTAATTTAGTGTTAACTCAGTTTTATTTTTATTTTTCTTATCTATTTATGATCCAGATTATCCGGATTTTCTCAAATTTTTTTTATTTAGTATTTTAAATTATTACTATAGAAAATATTTGATATAATTTAAATTCAAAATACATAACTTTATTATTAGATAAATTTCTATATAAAATTAATTAACATATAATATGCTTTAAATTTATTATTTTTAAAAGTTGAACCTATACTATTAAAAGGAAAGTATTTTTAGTCTATGCATCCAAACATTCCTATTTTTCAAAACAAAATCTGTTTGGAAACTGTTTTAATGATAATTCAGTTTGTTTTACCAAATATAAATACATTAAAAAAAATTGAATTTAGGTATGATATTTTTTAAAATATTTATATTAGGCTAGTTTGTGTGTATAGCTATTCCAATTACCAAACAAGTAATTTAGTGGAATATTTATAAAATATTATATTTGAATATTTTTTAAAAATAATTTCGAAATAAAATTTTAATTTAGGTAAGTTTGGAGTTCCTTAAATATAGGTTAAATGAATTATCAAATTCATTTGTTAATTTACAATAAATATTCAAATTTAAATAATCTTATGGAAATGATAAACAATAAGTTATTTTATATTTTTATCATGATCAATCGGTCTAAAAATTTTAATTTTTAAAATTAGATTTTAACCCGTTCGTCAGCATGGGAATATTTTTATATCAAATTTTGTAATATAATTATTATTTTTGTGTGTTGAGATATAATTTTTATGTTTTAGATAAAAATTTATTTTTGTAGGTATAATTTTTCTAATAAGTGAAAAAACTTTATTTTTATGTTTAGATATAATTTAGTTTTGTAGTTTAATTTTTTGTATTAAATATAACCATGATTATAAAAAAATAGTTATAACCCGCTCATTTATATTAATTCTAAAAGAACTGTGATTATAAATCTAACCGAACTGCCACAAAATATAAACTAATATAAAGATTTTCTAAAGATATTATACCTAAATTTAGAATTAATTTATTTTATATATTTATATTTGTTAAAACCTATGTTCAAAATTTTGGTAGGTGCTAGTCGGGCGGTCGAGGTGCCTAGCGCCTAACAGACAAATAGGAGATTAATCGAAGATTAATTATTTGTATTTTTATTTATTTATACAATTATATATTAAATATGAGTATAAAACACAAAAATAAATTGTGGCTCAGTGGTATGTGCTGGATTAATGTCCTTAAAAGACATAGGTGAGTCTGATTTCGAATCTATAATGAAACATTCTATTTTAAGCTTAAAAACTCATAGAAAAGTGCTTTAAAATTCGATTATTGAACCGATTAAGGTCAAATCGCGACAGCTTGCCACCGATCAGCACCTAGTCAGCCGATTAACTGTCAAGGCAGACAATTTTTTGAACTTGGGTTAAAACAAACTGAATTATCATTAAAAGAGTTTCCAAACAGATTTTATTTTTAAAAGAATAGTGTTCGGATGTAGAGACTAAAAATGCTTATCTTTTACTAGTATAGATTTTGTTATTATATAATTTTTGTAAGTTGAAATGATAGCAATGTAAATTTTGTTTCTATTGGTTAAGATGGGTTAACCCGTCCATTTAACATAACTCGAATTAGCTCATTATCTTATGTTTTGATACATCAACCCACAAAGGATATCAATTATAAAAATATGAATAAAAATGTTTAATAATATAAATATTTACTATTTTGAATGTTTATTTTTACTATAATATAAGTATCTACTAATTTCTAACATTTTAAATTTTAGCTTAATTAATTATGAAATAAAGATACAATAACATATTATTTTAACTTTTTATTATAATCATTGCTCTAAATTATTTATTAATTTGTAAAACTACAATAAAAATTAATTTTTGATTTTTTTAGGTAATATCTTACCTATATTTAAGAAAATCTAAATAATATAAATTAATATTTAAATTTTTAGAATTAATTATAATATAAAATAAAATGTATTTTTTATTAATATATTTTGGTTGTGTTTGGATGTAGTGATTAAAATACTCTCTGCAGAGTCCAAATGTATATCATTTTTAATAGTGTTGGGATAAACTCGATTCTCACGTGGACGAACCACGTGCTTGCACATTGCATCTATGACATTTTTTGGCAGGTACGGTCTCCTTGGGCCAAATTGGATTTTGTATTGGGCTTACGGTCCAATACGACTTAAGCATATAACATCAGACATCAAATCTTTCGGATTCCAGAGATCCAGCACACAAAACCACCTGTTCCCGGGTTCTTCGTATCCGACAGTGCATACCATGCTGTTAGAGATAAAGAGGTTGAGAACTGAGTGGTCAAGAGCATGAGAGGTTCTTTCTATATGTCCTAGAACTAAGTTCAGTGATCTGAAAGGGTTGGGATATGATGAATGTAACCCGCACAGGTATCCGGAAGAAAGAATCAACAAGTAAGGCAGCATCGACTGTCTGGTCCCAGTATCACGTAGGGCTAGGTATAAATAATCCATTAAGCGGGAAACACTGTTCAATTTTTTTTCCATTAGATATTCGGAATATGCTTTGGACTGATTCGATTGCCCATACCCTTTACAAACCCACACGGTTGACATTTAATGCGCTATGCATATTTAGTACACATGTCAGGTGACAATGACCATTCATAGAAGGCAGAGGAAAAGCAGAAGTTCAGCAAAGACCATACCGCGTCTGAGCCGCTGAACCTAACTCGTAGCTGAAGGTGAGAATAACATGCCAATGAATGGTTTCACAGCAGGAGGAACACGCCAAAGAAAGGTTGTGAGTCTGTCAAAATCATGATGCAAGCATAAGATTCGGACCCAACCAAATCGGATCCCTGGCCAACCCGCAACCCCACGAACTAATCTGTTTCTGGTAAAATCCTATAAATATTTAACTCTTTTTAACGAGAAAGGGATTCAATTCTCTTGCAATCTTAAGGCTTATGTTATCTCTCTTGATACTCGTAAACCTTAAGTTACACTACTCTCTCTTTTCCGGTAATTACTCCGAACATCTCAACACATCATTTCCACTTTCACTCCACAGTGGTTCCTAAACCGTGGAGCTTTTCCACCCATAAACCTTTACATTTCTTCTTTTTTCCACCTAAAAACTCACTAAACTTAGATCCGAGTATTTTCTACCTTTCACAAGAGTTCTCGACCCGTTTTTTCTTTTCTCGTTTTCTGATATCTTTTCTCTTTCCAATTTGCCATTTTGTGGTTTTTTCGTTACTATTTTCTGACTTGAGCGTAAGAGAGCCATCAAAAAACAATCTTCCATCGTATTTTACGAACTTTCACGCGTTTGCTAGTTTGCAAAAGACTTGTCTCCAAAAAGGACTAAAAACCTCAAGCGAATTATACTTATATTCGCAATTAGTTTTCTATTAATACAAACAGACATGTTATAATTATATTTTTATAATCACAATTATATTTAATATAAAAATATTAAATCTACAAAATTAAATTATATTTAACAAAAAATAATTTTTTGGCATTTATTATGAAAATTATACTTATAAAATATAAATTATATCTAAAATATAAATTATATCTACATATACAAAAAAACATAAATCATATTACAAAATGTGATATAAAAAAAAAAATCTTTCCAGAACGCACGTATTATAATCTAGTTTTCCTTATTATTATTAACTAGACTTGTACCCACGCATACGCGCGGGTTTTGTTTTACATAATATTTTTAAAAATATGTTTGTGTTGATATATATATATATATATAATTATAAGAATATGGTAATTTGTTTGATTGTTTAGTATTAGGTTTTTTAAAAGTAAAATCTTTGTAAAACAACTAACTTTTTTAGAAAGATTGGAAGTAGTGTAAATAGAAAAATTATTCTATTATTCTAGAAATCATAATGATATGAATAAAACAGACGTAGATAAAAGCCATAATTTTTGGGTTGAATTGCTTGAAAACATATAATTATCTCTGAATTTTAATGTTCTCATATTTATGATATGCACAATTGCTATGATTCTGCAAGAACCACCTTATACTTCATGTTTCACAATAAAATGCAGTTATAATAATATGATATTTGACCCATAAAAACTGTCAAATCTTTGAATGTAGAACGTTACATCTTTAATTTTTTTCATACAACAAGCTTCGAAGAAGGTGTACATGATGAGGATAAATCGGACGAAAAAGTATCAAATTAGTACAAAAAATATTAAAAGTTTTTAGATGAATATCAAAAGATTAGAAATGTTGTTTATTTATTTTTGTTAGGAATGTGAAAAGCCTTAATTTTAATGTAACTTAATAGTTATGAACATAAATACATGTGAAATAAACATTAAATAGAGAAATTAAGTTAGAAGTAGTGGTTTTAATTAGTTTTTAACTTTTTATTTTAAAATTTATGATTAATTAATTGGATAAAAGGACAGATGTCCTCCATTCAGATGTTGTGGCAGTAGAATGGAGATAGTTCACCTAAAATCATATATATGATTTATTTTGATAATTGTAGAGACGGCCCACGTGGATAAAGCCCAGAAAAACACAAGAGAATAAAGACGAAAGAGATAAACCCATAAAAACTAAACTTCCTTTCTTCTCCAATTCCCAAGCATCAAATCCTTTACCCCCTCTCCTCTGCAATTCACTCCCGAAGAGGAAAAAAAGACGAAAAATAGGAAACAAAGATTCCTCCTTTTCTTCTGCGATTTGCTTTGTTTAATGCCAGTTCTTGTCTTTGGTTCTCTTCATGTTTGATCTTTCTCTTACACCATCGCCATGGGAGCTCAGAAGAGCATCCACGCTGGCAGAGGTTCCACTTTTGTGTTCTAAAACCCATCTCTTCCTCTCCTTCTATTCTAGATTATCAACATTTTTTGTTTTGGATCAGTACTAATGTGATTAATGTTGGAAAAATGGTAAAATTCTGGAATTTGATTGTGGATTTGATGGCTGATTGTTATACTAATTGTTAAGTTCGTTTGGAGGGCTAAAATAGGATTTTATTGTTTCCATGTTTCTTCATTTCCCATTATAGATATGATTATGTGTTATGGTTGTTCTTATGTATCTGTAATAATTGGTGAATTAAAATGGTGTACGAATGATGATAAATTGGTTGTTTGTTTGTAAAGGAAAACACTTTCGAATTCTTTTTGTTACAAACCATACTGTGGGATGGGTCTTGCTTTTGATAGTGAAGATTAAGATGGGATTGCTTAAGAAGACCTTTGAAAGTATAAAATTTGTATATTTTGTTCGTATATCTGTTAATTTCATGAGGGTGGTGGGTTGTGAATTTTCTTATTTTTTTATTGCAGCCAAGATTGATGTTAATGTGGATTTCACTCATAAGCTTTGTACTTCTCTAATGTTTCCTGCTTTCAGGTTTGTTCCCATGTTCAATTCTTGAACTTTACTCGAATATAATCAATACTCATGAAAATGTGTCCACCTTTATTATCTTCCTCAAACGATATTAAAATTCAATTTTTTGCTGTTTGTTCAGGGACACTTGCAGTCCTCTTTCTCTAGTGATTGGCAGGCAAGTTCTGTGACTTAATTGCTAATTGATATCGTTGGTATTCATATAATCTGCAGAACTGAAATGGTAGTAACTATTGAAATGTTCATTTGGGTCTGTTGGTTGCAGCCTCTGTATCAAACATCCGAATTTGTTCGGAGGAAGCGAGAAGCTTGATGTATCGTGGGATAAAGGGTTGTATGATTCCAATGTACTGGTGGCTTTTAGGAGACCTAGACCTGAATGGCGTCCGCAACAGTGCTTCTTCATACAGGTTCCAATATAACAGAAACAATTTTGGCTTTACTCATTTTTCTTCCTTACTTTTGTTAATAATTTGTGAAACAATCTTAGAAAGTGAGTTTTCTAAATCTGGCACAGCATTCTCTTTCACCTGAGATAGGGGTCCATGGAACTCCAATTGACAATTTTTCCCGGTCAGGAAGCGGAGGTGTAAACCTGTCTAAATTGGCAGTTGGCTTAGACTTGAGTGAGCCAGCAAGTTCAAAATGGAGCAGCACAACCAGCGTTAAATTTGAGGTACCCGCTCAATACCTTCTCTAGACTGTAACAAAGGTTGTGGCTCTCTTTTCTGTTTTACTTCGTGGCCAAAGAGTATCACTTTCCTTCCATTTGTGCAGCATGTGCGTCCTTTAAACGATGAAGGACGCTCGATAACGAGAGATCTGGATGGATTTCCTACAACATGCAGGTGATATTAGATATCTCTTTCCCTTGGTTTCTTTCCTTGAACTCTAGCATAAAACTGATATTTACATCACGTAGAAATCTTTGCTATGCAGTGGAAATACGCATGACAGTATGGTAGTTTTAAAGCAAGAATCCCGGTTTGCAAAGGCTAACGACCAGGGTCTTTCTCATGTAAGAAGCTCTTCATATTCTGTTTCATATCCTATAAAAAAAAACCTTTTTCTAATCTCTCATACTGGTTTCTCGCTTTTTTTCAGTTCAGCATGCAAATAGAACAAGGTATTCCTGTTGTGTCCAAGTGGCTTATCTTCAACCGTTTTAAATTTGTTGCATCAAAAGGTGTCAGATTGGGACCGGCTTTTCTCTTAGCAAGGTACTGACATAATCTTACATTCTCTGTTCTTGACAAGTACAAGTAGAAGAGGCTTCATAAGTTTTGGTGTGGTTCTTACCTCTATTTGTGACAGCCTGACAGGTGGTTCAATTGTAGGAGACATGGCTCCTTATCAAGCATTTGCTATTGGTGGGCTAGGCAGTGTTCGTGGGTATGGTGAGGGAGCTGTTGGATCCGGACGGTCATGCCTCGTTGCAAATACAGAATTGGCCTTGCCTTTGGTACGTGGAGATCTGATTCGGTCTTCAGAAGCATCTAAATTTTTTAGTTTTGATTGAGTTTTCCTTGTTTGTTTACAGAACAAGATGACAGAAGGGACAATCTTCTTGGATTGTGGAACAGACCTAGGCTCAAGCCGTCTTGTCCCCGGTAAGATCACGTCGCCTGCTCCTAACAAGAACCATGACGAAGTTGTTTGGACACAAATTTGATTAAGTTGTTGTCGAATCGGTTTCAGGAAACCCGTCGCTCAGACAGGGGAAACCAGGGTTTGGGTATGGATTCGGGTATGGACTACGGTTCAAGTCTCCGTTGGGTCACCTTCAGGTTGATTATGCCATAAATGCTTTTAACCAGAAGACTCTTTACTTTGGTGTTACCAACCTTGCTTCATCAACATAGCCAAAATAGAATAAAGCAATCAAGAGAAAAGCACATATTTGATTCAGTGTCTTGATTCACGGATATATTTGTGTTTGCGGTGAGACCAGAAACGGCACAAGCTGAAGCAAAAATTAACCAATCAGTCGCTGTACATCAAATCAAAAATTTAAATGATTGGTTAGTCTCTAAGTCTCTAACAAATAATTAATATTAACTAGTCAAAGATTAACAAAAAGTTACCAGTGTATTTTTTTTTTAGTAACGTCCCTTGTGGATTTAGATTTCCTTCTTTTTGCTCTTGTTCATAGAAACCGTAATGTGACGGGCTGCGGTTTCATGGAGAGAAAAGAACTCATTTTATTTGATGGAGTTGAGAATAATGCATCTCTTACTTTTCCATATCTGATCTGAGCATAAATTTGCAGAAAACACCATTAGTTTTAAATTAGGTAACCGTCTGGTATAGTTATAGAAGCTAAATCAAAGCTAAATCAAATCTAAACCAAGATCAAAGTTGGATGGTTAACTGAATACCTAACAATCTTGGCTCTCTTGAACAAGGGGTGATCATTTCAGTTATATGATCTTTTGGTTTCGGTTTACGAAGTATACTCTTGAACCAAAACCAAAAAAGTTATTTACTCCTTTCCAGAAAATCAATATAATTTTGGTTTGGATTTTGAAGATTAATCAATAACACAAATATCTACAACCGATTGACATGTACGAAAAAATGGGTTTTGTAATACACTGATTTGGTTCAGTCCCTTAGTAAGTAACAACAAAGTGCCTTTAAAATAACTAGCCGTGGGCATACACCTTGAGGACAAGGTGGTCCTTCATTGGGGGAATATTGATATGACACAAATGGATCAAAACGTGAGTGTAGTCTCTATTCTCTTGGTGACACAAAATTTGGCTCTCATTGTCGGAATTGGGGATGCTGCCGGAAGGATCATATGTTTGCCAAGTCAAGCATGGGTTATTTTGAATCATTTTTTGCTGAATGTTGCATTTATGAAGTGTTCCACTTGCAAAGACCACCAGAGTTGTTTGCAACAACAGGTAATGCAAAAATATGGAGCCTTCTGGTTTCTAACTGCTATAGAAGTGTGGTGCGGAAGATAGTCGGAGATATTAACTTCTTAATTCACCTTGAGGACAAGGTGAGTCTTCACGGCGGGAGTATTGATACGATCAGGGATTGAGTCTTCTGGGCTTGGTGGAGGTCTATGGAATTAAAGTTGAAGATTGAAGCCTACATCTATCTAGCATTCATCTTATTTACAATTATGCTATCATTTCTTACGTTATTAACTTTTTTTTTTTTTGATAAATCCTATCGGCTGGTCCGGTTGACCCCGGTAGGAATGCATCGAAATGCTATAGTGTGGACTTCTTCTTGGTTCAACGGTTCAATGGACACCATGAGCTTCGAGCGAACTCGAGTCAACGGCCCATGAGATCCATGAGATCCAAATGGACCACCACACTACCTGTCCCTAATTTGAAATGCCTTCCGAGTAATGCCAGGGGTAGCCAAATCGCCTGTTACTGAACTACCAGACAAACTGCTTGGGCCTTTGGCCCAAACCCAGACTTCCCACATAATTGTGTTTTTGTTTTTAGGGAGGATCGAATCTGGGTGAAGTGGTGTAACACCCCACACAACCCTTCCCTACCACTAGACCACAAAGATGCGGGCTACGTTATTAACCTTAGAACTCCCATTGTAGAAACTATAGAGTTTAGGAAAGGAGATTGTATATTGCTTGTAGTAATAAGAGATTACAATATATATATCTATATATATATATATATATACAGATTTACTCTAGGGTTTCTGAATAGATATTTACAAACAGAGTCTTATATATTTATTATATTCTATACGCTCCCGCAAGATGAGCGACTGGTAACTGAGAGAGCCCAATCTTGTCTAGATGACCAGAAAGAAGAGACCGTGTAACCGGCTTGGTCAAAGCATCAGCGAGCTGATCTTTGGAGGAGACGTGAGAAATCCAAAGAAAACCAGACTGAACAAGCTCACGAATGAAGTGATAATCAAGAGCAACATGCTTCATACGTGAGTGAAAGACTGGGTTGGCAGATAAGTAGGTAGCACCAACGTTATCGCAATAAAGAACTGGTTGAGAAGACGACTTAACACCGAGTTCTTGGAGAAGAGCAACAACCCATTGGAGTTCCAAAGCAGCATCAGCAACAGCTCGATATTCAGCCTCAGTGGAAGATCGCGCCATCGTCTTCTGCTTTCGTGAGGACCATGAGACGGGGTTGGCACCAAGATAGATAATGTGAGCACTGGTGGAAGTATAGTCATCATGGTTCCCTGCCCAATCTGCATCGGAGAATGCATGAAGGCGAAGTGGAGAATTGGAACGTAGAAAGATGCCACGTTCAAACGTACCAGCAAGGTAGCGGATGAGACGTTTGACAGCGAGCCAATGTATATCTGTTGGATGATGCATAAACTGAGAAAGCTTATTGACAGCAAACGCTATATCCGGACGTGTAAAGTGAAGATATTGTAAGCTGACAACGACGTTGCGATATTCAGTGCCATCTTTGAGAGGTGTTCCCGAAAGAAGAGTGAGATGCTCGTGAGTAACCATCGGAGTCGCTAACGGCTTTGCATCAGACATCTTTGTACGTGCAAGCAAGTCACAGATGTATTTTTGCTGAGTAAGAAGTAGACCAGCAGGCGAACGAGTAGCTTCAACTCCCAAAAAATAACTGAGTTCACCATGATCCTTGAGAGAGAACCGTGCACTGAGCAGCTCAATAAACTGTTGTACCCGAGTGGAATCACTGCCTGTTACGATGATATCGTCAACATAGACCAACACATAGAGAGAGAGACAGCAGCAAATCGAAGAATAAAAAGAGATGCATCAGCCAGGGAGTTGGTGAAACCAGACGCCAAAAGAAACGTACGCAGCTCGATGTACCACCCGCGAGGGGCTTGTTTCAAGCCATAGAGTGCTTTTTGAAGCTTACACACATAGTTAGGTCTGTCTTTGTCCACAAAACCAATAGGTTGAACCATATAAACATCTTCCTTCAAATGGCCCTGCAGAAAAGCGTTATTAACGTCAAGTTGACGAAGCACCCAGTTACGAGCAACGACAATGTCAAGAATAACGCAAACTGTGGTTGGCTTCACAACAGGGCTGAACGTGTCATGATAATCGAGACTAGGGCGTTGATGAAACTCTTTTGCGACGAGACGTGCTTTGAACCGATCAATGGAGCTATCTGGGTTTCTTTTGATCCAGAAAACCCACTTGTTGCCGATGAGATTGTATCGAGGATCTGGTGGTATGAGATCCCATGTGTGATTTCGGATCTGTGAATCAAACTCCTCACTCGTCGCCTTACGCCACCGCTCGTCTTGGAGAGCCTGACTCACACATGTTGGTTCCACTTCACCATTTAATTGTTTGATTGCCATCAGCGAGTACTTCTTGTTTGGCTTTGAAATGTTGTTCTTCGATCGGGTGACCATCGGATGTGAGTTTGAGGGCACATTAGTGGAAGAAACAATCATCTCATCAGTCGAAACCTGCATCAATGAACCAGTATCGTTAGTGGAATCATCAGGTAGGGAAGTCGAGAGTTCGCCTGGATCAAGTGATGGAGCTGTAGCAGCAGACTCCGCATGGGAAACAGGTGACAACGCTGGTGAGGGATCCGAACCTAGGGGCTGAACCGATGATGGAGGAGTGAGTGGCGAGGGTGGGAGTATGGTAGCTGGTGGGAACCAAGATGGTGTAGCAGTGTTTGGGGAAGAGGATGATGGTGGTTTGAGGTTATGAAAGGGGAAGGCTGTTTCGAAAAAGTGGACATGACGAGAGACAAAGACTCTAGTGGTTTGTGGATCAAGGCAGAGGAAAGCGCTTTGCATGAGAGTATCCAAGAAAGACGCAGGGAGTAGAGCGAGCTTCAAGCTTGTGCTTTGTGTAAGGGCGGAGCCAGGAAAAGCAAAGACACCCAAAAACACGTAGTTTTAGGTAGCCTATTGATCAGATACACAGTGAGTGTCGCCGTGGGGAGCCTATTGATCAGATACACAGCAGCAGAGAAAGCGTACGGCCAGTACCTAACAGGAATGGAGGCATGAGAAAGTAACGCCAAACCTGTTTCGACAATGTGTTGGTGACATCTCTCGGAGAACCCATTGTGTTCGGGTGTATGAGGAGGTGTTGTAAGATGAGACACGCCATTGGTGGAGAGAAAAGTGGCAAGCGCTATGTATTCACCTCCATTATCGCTAGGGATACGCAAAAAAAACGAGCGGAACTGAACCAACCGAACCAACCGAACTTAAACCGAACTGAACCAATCCATTTTTAATATATAATCCGTTTGGTTGAAGTTTTTCACAACTCGAACGGTTCAGTTTGGTTTGATTTTAAACCGAACCAAACCAAAAAACTAATATACTTATTTTATTTAACTTTTTAGTTAGTTCATAATACTAGTTTTTTGAAATATGGTGAAATGTGAAATTTCACCTAAACCAACACACCATTTCTTTTCTTCAAACTGATTTTTTTAAAACTGAATTAAAATTAAACCGAACTAAAACTAAACCGAACTTAACCAAACCGAATTCAAACCGAACCAAAATTATTTCAGTTGAGTTTGGTTAAAATTTTATTGAATCCGAATTAACCAAACCGAACCGAACTCAAACCGAACCCGAAAATAAACCAAAATGCCCACCCCTAATTATCGCTGTAGAAAGTCTTTAATTTCTTGTCAAATCGATTTTCAACAATGGCTTTCCATCGAACAAACGTGTCATGGACGTCGGATTTGCGTCAAATAGGATAGAACCACACGTAATGAGTGAAGTGATCCAAAAAGATGACATAGTACTTGTAGCCATCAATGGAGAAAACCGGTGATGTCCAGACGTCTGAGAAAACAAGCTCAAGGGGCTGTGTAGAGGTTAGTGACGACAAAGAGAAAGGGTTTTTGTGGCTTTTGTTTATGAGGCAATCATTGCAATGAAAAGTGAAATCTTTATTAGAAATAGGTAGTAAAGCATTTGAAACAATGGTCTTTAAAATGGGTAAAGCGGGATGTCCTAGGCATGAATGCCAAATAGAGAGAGAACATTTAGCACTTGAAATAAAAGCTGAGAAAGTAAATGGGTTTGGGTGTTGGGTTGGCCACTCATATCCTCCATCTTTAGGCCTGCCTTGCAGTATTT